TTTTTTTTCCCTTTCTGGGAAGAAATTCAAGATTGTGGTTTATTTATCTGAATCATGAGCTCAGCCATGAGAATTCTTCCTCTCCTGCCCACAAAATGCTCCTGTCTGTCCTTTAACCTACCATAGTATCTTACATTCATTTCAGAATTTTAGGCTTTTAAGCTTTGCAATCCATTTTTAGTTGTCTTAAACATTTTCTTATTAATGTTATCTTACAAGAGGTGACTTTAAAATCTGATATTTTAAAACCAAATGAATGAAGTATTTTTGAAGTACTGTTTCAAGCAGCAAAAACCCCAGCTAACGAGATTGTGTGTAGGACTCTTCAAAACAGTGCAGTCATTTATACTGTAATACATTTTTCCAGCCTAGTGTTTAATGAGGAAGGTGATAGAATGTCAAGAAGCCATTTAAATATGATTTTTTTGAGTTCCCATTTAGAGTCTCAACATATTAAGCTCTTCTTTTAGGTTCAGCATGAGTTTCTCCTCTTAAGATCTACATGGCTAAACCATCCAATTTTAGGAAGACTAATTAGGCAGTGTCTGTTTCCAAAATGCAGCTTGTCTATTAGGGCACAGCACTTAATGGCACAGCACTTTCATAGTGTTTATAATGAGAAGAAAAATATAATGCTACTGTCAGTGTTCAACAGAAGACTTACAGATTTTCATAGACAGAAAACATATAGACATGGGACATTTTTTGATGAAACATTTTTAAAAACAAACCTGAAAAAATTTTGTTCATACAGAAGACAGCAAAAACGTGCATAAAAGGAAGACACCTTCTTGATAGCTATTCCATCATAATGGTATCTAGAAAATAAAAAATATTAACTGTATGATTTTCAAAAAGTAAGCAAATAATTCATAATCCTCTTTTAAAAAGAAAATGCTCATTCTATTTAACTCCATCTGAATGGAGAGCCTCAGATTTGTACAGGACAGTTAGTGAAGTCAGGAAACAGACTCTTAGCAGACAGAGGTCCCCATATCCCCACAGAAGTTGAAGAACTTAGTGCAAGGTGTTCCTTGGCCATTTACAGTAGCTCAGCGTCTGACGGCCCATAAGTGTCATGGCAAGCTAAAACTCAAGAAAACTGCCAGACCTTCTGTAAGATTTATCTGAACTCAGTGAGAAACAGAGCCACCATCTCTGCTACCAAGGTGCTTCCAGCTGGCTTCTCCCAGGCTGGGTCACCAGGAGCCAGAGGAGCAGTGTTGTGCTCCAGAGTCACCTGCAGCCAGGAGCAGGTAACCTTCTGCTGGTGGGGAGAGCATGGAGGCCACCAAACACCATCCCAAATCCTGTCTGCTGTGAGCAGGAGCCTAGGAGTGTCTGAGGTGAGGCACTCCCAAAATAAAGGATCTCCTAGCTCAAGCTGATAGCAGGTCCAGGCTAGTGGAGACAAGTCAGGGCATGTTGTTCTTAAAGCCCATACTTGATAGCTACACAAAATGCTTGCAAAATTATTCAGTCTCAATGACCTTAAAACATCCCTTTTCCTAGTCTGGATGTTCAGCATGTGAGTATAACTTTGGATATGAAAAAGCATCAAACTCTGTGCTCTAGAAGAGAGGGAAGGGAAAAGAAAGGATGTTTAGGAGGAGGACCTGAAGTTGTCCAATTTAAACGGTTTGAAGCTGTACAGCACTTCCATTGACCATTGACTGGGTCACTCCATGGATGTGTGCAAGGACAAACAGCACAATATGGACATTGATCATTAACCACCAGTCCTGTGCATCCCAGATCCTTTCCTGGCCTAGAGATGCAGTATCTGAAGAGCTCTCAGTAAGGCTGTGATGTCTGGCACATGCTTCATGCCAGCCATGCTGTTAATAGCCAGTACAAATTGGAGGACTAAGATCTTTTAAAAAGCAGTCCAGTCTGGAATTCATGCCTTACCAAAACAGATCGGATGTGGTGGTTTTCATGGAATTAACTCTATTTTAATGTCCTTGGTTACATCATGAATTACTCTGGATCTTGTGTTACACACTTGCAACCAACAATTCAGCTGCCATATTACAGTTCTGGGGCTGAAAAGTCACCCACTTTAAAATTTTATGAGAATAGTTATAAATAACTTTTCCAAAGAAAGGACACAAACCTGATACTCCCTGCTGTGGTCCGCCTTCTTGTCACCAGGCCTGGGAAAACTAACTGAATAAGCTGTATAAACAAACAGAAAATTAGAGATACGTAGCAAATTCATTCAAAGATGTAAAAATGTATCTGGTATACTTTTTTGTCTTTAATCACTTTGTTTGCTTTTCATAATTTCCAGGCTAATACCTGTTCTTACGTGCCTCTTAAATGGTAACTGTTGAACTAAACTCAATCAGACATTTGCGTACCCAAAGCTAAATAATTTAAAGGATTACCTCTCTCAGGTAGGAATTTTTTTTATAGTTTGCACTAGAAAACTGTGCTCACACCAAGAGACCCCCTGCAGCCAGGGCAGGATCAATCAGCTGAGGGAACTTGAAGGTGCCCTGATGGTTCCATACTCTGCCAGACCTTCAAGCCTTATTAATTTAAGAAGGACTTAACACAAGGGGCTTCACCTACCCACTTACTCTTGGAAGGTGTACTGACAGGATAGGGCCAGATTTACTTGTCTTATAAGGACCTGAATCATCAAGCTGCAAGGCAACCTTTTGACCACTGTGCTGGTGTGAACTGAGGTTGTGCAGCATCTGTCAAGGTCGGGCTCTACAGAGTAATTAGATACTGTCAGGGTTTTATAATCCACTTCACTATGATGATTCTGCATGAGCTGTCCTGAGACTAACAGAGACTAACTCAAGACACCTGGGTCCAGGACTAACCCAGGACACTCTAATATTCCCAATACAGCAGGAACAGAGGATTTACTCCCTGTTAGCAAGGAGTGAGGAGAGTCTCCACTGAGACTTGCTGAGCAGCACAAAGATGGACTCTGCACAATGTGTTGCTGGTCCAAAGGCCTGGTAAAGGACTCACCAACACACACCTCTAGTTTTTATGATGGACCTGTTCATTGCATGTTTCTGCATGCACCTACCCAAGCTGCTCCCTTTCTCAAATTGATAGCTTAGCATAATCCCATTTTTCTAAAAGGACAGCCTATGAAACTGGGGCTTTTTGTGGCACAAAACATATCCTTCCTCCCGCTGCCATTCCTTACAGAAACAGTAATGTATTTTTGGGCAGAGGGATAGGGCAGATGAAATTAGTAGTGTCTTCAACCACCATAGTTTGATCCATATGGGGCTGTGAAAGCCCTTGCAGTCCACACGCATGGAGCACAGTCAGGTTACTACAGCTTGGTAAATTATTAATAGCTCAGCCCATTATAGGCTGTGGTGTTTACACATGCACTCAGGTTAAACCAGGATTGCTGCAGTTCCTGCTCTGCTCAGTTTCTTGCTACAAGGTCCATTCTCCTGCTGCAGAAGGCCAGACAATTTCAAGCCACTGGGGAGCTGCACCCCATCTTGCTGCTTTGGGATGTGTCAACTTGCACTGCAATGCACTGGGTTGATTGAGGCTGCGAGCAAATAGTTACAAGCAGCAGCCCACAGCAGCTCTGGCACGTCAGCTCTTCCATGTGAGCAGACTCAAGCTTCATCTGTGCCTGTCCCAGCTTAAAAGTCAAACACATTAAGGTAAACCACATGAAGGCTTAGCTTACAGGTGGTAACTCAGCCGTGCTGGAGCACTGGAAGGGTACAAGCAGGATAGGATTAATCTCATCTACATGGCTACAAGGCAGAGAAGTCTAAGATAGTCGCTGCAGACTATGTAGTCAATGGGGAAAAAACAAATGGCAGTTCTGAGGCCCCTTTCATCTGAGCTGTCTGGGTTGACTCATATAGTGTGAGGAAACATATATAGCTACTTATTTCTCTCCAGTGGCTACCTAGAGATTTTTAAGGTGACAAGCTTCATGACCAATGCCTATGCTGAGCCAGGCAAATTCTACCCAGTCTTAGCTGATGGGTGATGATCCATTAAGCTGTGGTAATAAATTACACCGGAGCACTCACTCAAATATTAATTTTCAGCAAAAGTGATTTAACTTATGCAGTAAAAAAATTAGATTCAACTGAATTGAGATAAATTATTCATAGAACGGGGCTAGCCATACAAATAAAATTGACTTCAGATACAACTTGTACTTAAATTATTTTGGGTTTGTGCTAAAACAGTGCTTACTAGCTCTTACTATTAAGAGTAGTAAGAGCTACTAAGAGTAGCTACTTAGTAGCTCTTACTGTGGGAATTAATAGAAAGTTAGCCATAAAAAATAAGAAGTTCTGAATTCTGAATAAGAAGTCTTGAACAATAAATAATCACAGTATATTCCTTAATTTGTTAAAAAAGTTTGAATAGCTATGGGTGTTATTGCAGTTTGGATTTCTAAGTGTCAGTTGTTCCATGGGTTGTATCAACCTCTATGTAATAGAAGAATGGAACTGTTAGAAGGAGATTCAGTTCTACATTTGCATTTGTTTTGCTTGGCTGATTACGTAGCAACTTTTTAGGGTATGTTTGAAGCAAAATCTCTTCAAGTATACAGAAAAGGGAAAGCATAAACTTATGTAACAACCAAAGGTGTCTTTTAAAGACAGAAGAATCATCTCCTTGGAATAAGTTGTGTAACTTTCTGCTGTTAAAAAAAAAGAAAACTGTAAAACTTTCTAAAATATATTGGCAAAAGAAATCTTTGCTAGTGTATTATGCACCAGTTCCCTGAAGAAAATAAACTCCATACCAAACAATACTCTTTCCTCTGGTACAAATGCATCTACATGAAGGCTTAGCAAAAATACAATAGAAAATGCACACATAATCCATTACATATGCATTCTTCTCTGATATGTCTTTTGATATGCAGTGTGTATATTTGATGATCAGGCTTTCTCTTTAGGCCTCCCTACTTCTTATCTTGTATCAACTTCTCTTGTATCTTGTATGTACTCTGTACCTTTCCAAAGGTGGATGGATGTACTTGAATCTTGAAATTGGCATTGCAGGTTTCAATATACAGCTCATATAGTAGCCGGCAGGGTACAGTGCATCCTCCACACAAATAGAAATTATCAGCTAGCCTTTAAAACAAAAATCAGCAATTTGTTTATGTCAGAGTTAGAATAAAGAACTGTTAGATTTTTATAGTTTATCAGATTTACAGTGAACCCTGCAATAGTCATTCTGATTTTATAGAAGCACAGAATCAAAAAGAGCTACTTCCTTTGTGTTAATCTGTATCCTGGGAAACAATATACTTTTTCATATAAATATATATATATACTCTGTTTATTTTTAATTTTTAGAGCCCTATATTCCTTGCTTTCAACATGTAAGAGACGTCATGTGAGATTCTGCTAAGAAATTAACTGGTTCTCAGAATTTTTAAATTAAAACAATACAACTTAGTAATACTAATATAACATTAACACCAATACAGATAGTATTAGAATTTCTCATATGTAAAATGTTGTTATATCAAAGGATCTAACTCAGTGCACAAACTATAAAGGACCACATTTTGTTTTCATATAACCTCACTGATTTTAGGGTAAGTTTAATAGAACAGTGTTTTAATTTACAGTTACTGTATAACAGAACTGTCAGGACTGAAACAGGTTTAAGTGTTTAAATATCCATCCTCTTGCCAAATCCCTATTCATCCTACTAATCAGAATGTCATAGCCAAGTAAATGCAACTACTTGTGTGAATAAGGTGAGGAAAATGTAAACTTGGTTACTTATTAGCCTAAGATATTACCTTCACCAGGAGAAAAGTTATCTTTAATTACAAAATAATGCCAATGGTTTTGATGTCAGGATAATAGGCTACAGTACATATATGGGAGCAAAGCTGAATCAAAGGAGCAGAGGGATTAATTTTCAAAGCATGACACACTGCTCATATTATGGTGCTTTCTTGCTCTGACTGTTTCTGTTCTACCAAATTATTTATGCATATTTAATTATCAGCTGAATGCCAGTGCAGCACAGTGCCGGTTACTCACTGTGTCTTTACTGACAGTCAGGTTGGTTGGGAAAGCAGACTTTTCAATTCAATTGAAAAGTGTGTGAAAAGTCAGTTGGATTTTAAATCAGCATCCTCTGCTTTAGTACCCCGACTTCAGGCAACCCAGTTGTTTATCTTAGTTGCTTTGTCAGTAGACAGTGGATAAGATGTACAGCAAATCAGCTTTCTAGAACAGACTGAGTAAGAATATGGTCTCTGTGTAGTTGATGATGTTTACCTCACTTGTTATTTGTGCCTTCTCCCCTCTTTCCATTGAAGAATGCTATCTGCTGCCCCCCAAATGCCTCACCTATACTTCCTTGAAGACCATCTCCTCACCCAACAACCCAAGATGCTCTGCTGGGCTCCCTGCCAGCTCCTCACCACCTCCAGCCCCACCATCCAACAGCAAAAGCTTCATGGCTAGACCTGAGCATAACCTGCACCCAAAGATAGGGGATCTGCTGCTCTAACGGGTATTTCCCATCATCAGGCTAAAAGGTAAATGAAATTCATTCTACATAAGAGTCCTGATGAGCTCTGCCTCCCAGCAGGCAGAAGTGCTTTTTCTTCTAGAGCATCTCAAAACTCTTCACAATTGAGCAGTCTCAGAGGAGATTAATCTTAAGTTCAAATTCATCCTTAATATAACATCACAAGAGTCATTGGAAGTGCATCAGAAATTAATTCACGCTCCAGTAGCTGGTTTCTGCCAATAGCTTTCCCTCAGCATTTAACTACTTAGCGACAAAGTATTTGGGAATTCCATTTTGTGAATTTTTTGTCTATTAAGCTGCCAGTCTTTTTCAAATAGTAAGTCAAACACCTTCTTAGTGCTGACACATAATACAAAAATATTTCTATCAGGAAAGCAATCTACGCAGAAAAGAGCACAGCACTCCTCTTCTTGCTTACTAGCCCCAAGGTTTTCAAAACGTGAGTTTTTATGGCATGCATCAAAACAAAACTGTGAAAAAAGACAAAAAAATCTAAAGGAAAGTGTGGTAAGGGAAAAAGGTAGAGGTTAAAGAAAAAGCACAGAGGGAAAGACCTCCTCTATTTATCTACTGTGTATCCACACACTGTGTAGGGTTTTTTATCCTATTGATTTTAGGACCTCACATTTAGGGTTTGCCACCTATTCTGTGTGAACCCTTAGCAGCCAGGCCATTATACAGGCTGGCAAATCTGCTGTTAAACCATTTCTGGACCAAAATCTGGTTTGCTACTGGAAATGCGCCAACTGTAAAATGAAGCTGAACATTCAAATTTTTTCAAAACATGAAAAGAAGGTTGTCATGATGAAAAGAATCATTAGTTCATCCTTTCAAGGATTGCTTCTGATTCCGTTTTATGCTGTGTCTAAGACTGTTGGATGAATGACTTGGTATGAATCTCTTCCTTTAATCCTTTCAGAACGGGAGCAGTGGTATCTATATCACAGTGAAAAAACGGACTAACTCCCACTGCTCATGTATGGGGGGAGTAAAATTATTTAAGATCACTTGCTGATGAGTTAGAAGTTTGTATGTGTTGTTACTGTTTCACAAAAGCTTCAACATTATTTAGGAGCAGGACTCATTTGTGGAGAGAACCCTGGTTTCTCTTTGGCTGTCACATGGTAGATCATGCTCTTCTCAAAACCCAAGAAAACAATGGTGACAGCTTTCCTCCACTACACAAAGTGTCTCATTAAGGAGTTCGACCTTCAGCTCAAGAAAAAATAACCTTGGAAAAATCTCAAACATCCAGCATCACCCTGTGTGCCCGTGTGCCACCTCCTCGCAGCCACCTGTGTGCTGCAAGAGCCCACCAGGCAGGGAGATCCTCAGGAGCTGCCCCGCAGCATCACATCCAGTGCATGGCTGCCAGGGGCCAGATCCCAGCCTGTGGGTAGGCTGAGACAAAATCCCATTCCCCCGTGTCAAACCACCTCCATATCACTAGGGCTTGTGGCAGAAGATGGTCTTTCAGGGAAATTTCCCTGCTTGCTTGGTATCGTTTATACATCACCACGATGATGGGGCCTTTGCAGCAAACCGCGCTCTTGCCCTACGAAACCGCGAGAAGAGTTAAAAGCAGGGCTCCTGCACTCCCTGTGGCAAGGCACATCCTGCGAGCCCCACGGGGAAGCAGAGACAGCCGCGCCACCTGCCCGCTCCGTCCCGGGCAGCGGGCAAGGGGACATCACCCACCACTGGAGGACGGGGAGGTAGGTGAGGGAGGTGGGGCCGAAATAAGTCATGTCGGCCGGCTCCGGGTCGGGCTGCGGCGCCGCGTCGTCCATTGGGACGGGGATGGTGGGGCCGGGGCCGGTGGCTGCCGGGGCGGTCGGGTAACGGACGGCGGGTAACGCCCGCCCCGCGAGCGCTCCGCGCGGACCCGCGCCCGCCCCGCG